GTAGGGACAAGTCTTCATGTCCTTGAGGACATGAGGACTTGTAGGGATGCAGATAATTTCACGTGTTCCCCTCTGAAGACTCTAATGTCGTTCTGACGCACAGATGTTTTGTCTGGACTGATGCGGCATCAGGACATGAGTCACCAGCTGGAGGAGGAAGGGGGTGAAGCTGATGCGCACTGGGAGCTGCGCAGGACGACTGGCCTTGCTGGTTTTTGTTTTTATCACTGGAATCATGAAGGACGTTTGTAAAATGATCTTCTGCTCAGGACAACATGTGATGCAGCACAGTGTAGCTCGTCTATGACGTAGCGACAGAGGCCCACAGCTTGATAACCATCACCATGGTGACCTGGCCTTATCTTTGTACAAGCGTGATCCGGGTTGCCAGAAGCGTGATCAGGGTTGCCAGATATGAAATGACGAAATTTCTTAGTGTGAAATTACCGCGGGGGTGGGCTCTTGTGGTACTTTGGTTGGTGCCACTGGTGAATGGGAATCCTTATGACTAAATCAGCGCACGTGTTGTGCTGCGTGTTGAATAAATCACCGTGATGGCGACGAAGGTCAATAAAAACCTGTCAAACAGGGTCGGAATCTCAAAGCTGGGAAGTTTATTAATTTTCTGTCACGCCGTGGCCAAAAGTTACTGTCTTACAACTTGATTGTGAACTCCGTCTATCCTAATTTATTAAGTAAAAAACAAAACAACAGCCATTATTTGTTTATTGTTTAAGGATTTTGTAATCCTGCAGCTTTTTCAAATCATGAAAGGTTACCTTTACGTGATTTCTCTGCATTTTACGAGCCGTACCTGAAGGCAGCAGCAGCCGAACTGGTGTCAAGGAGAATGGGCGGTCCCTGAACCTTACACGCTCACGCGACACACGGTGCGTCGGTGTTTGTGGGAACGGGCTGGAAGGTAAGCTGCGGTGCGTGTTCGAGCGTTCATGTGTCGGTGGACCCGAGGAAACGCTGTGGTTGTTTCTGCTGGTCCTGCTGGTCCTGCTGGTCCTGGACCTAATGTGTCACCGCGCGGTCGGTGCGCGAGCGAGCAGAGACCAGTGGAATGATTGAGTAACACGTGTGGTTGATAATTACACAGGTTTATCACGCGTGGGCTCATCGCGTTCCTGTACGGTTGACGGTTTAGATCCGTCTTCACTGGTGATGAAACCCAGTCAGAGCGTCGATGGAGCTGACTGGTCTGACTGGTCCAGGATGCTGCGTGCTGAATGAATGACAGGTCGCGTGGGGACCAGTTAAACTGTGGAGGTTCTTGTTGTAACCTGCTGGTACCAGTCAACAAAGTTCATGCTCAGTCATCCAGGTGTCAAATCCAGTCATCCTCAGTCAGGTCATGTGGACAGTTTCTTTTTATAGACACGTTTCAGGTCTCCAGTCCATCACAGGGACACCTGGACAGATCTGCAGTCCATCACAAGGACACCTGGACAGATCTGCAGTCCATCACAGGGACACCTGGACAGGTCTCCAGTCCATCACAGGG